CTAATGATCATGGCATTCTTCCTACCTTGAGAACGCCAGCCTGCATGTGCTGCTGCGACTTCAGACTGGCTGCACCATGACAAGCAGAGCTTTCCGATGCCTTTGGTGCACTAGCTCTGCTTGCCTGGCTGTGATTGCCTCATCGGGCTTGCTACACTCAGTGTCAGCTTGCACATCTTGTAATCGGCCAAAGCAGTCATGCTGTGATGAGCATTGTTTTTTCAGAGATTGGGTTCTGACCCAGGGCCTTGTACTGCTGGGCAAGCACTCTCCCACTGAGCTGTACTGAGTGGCAGCCCTTTTGATGTTTTTGCTGTTCCCTGCTCTACTGTTACTCTCTTGGAGGAAAAATGGTTATTTTCTAATTCCCCAGCCCTTGCACATTCTTTAGCTGCCTTTTCAATGATGCGCTTGCATTTATGTCCTTCATTCATCCTACACATGTAATCCATATGGATGTGTGGATTTCTCTTTTTCCAGTGGCTTTAACATAATATGGCCCTCATTTATTCAGTGTTAAAATCACCTTACGTATGGTCAGTGAGAGTCCACTGTTGTTCGTGTCATTGTCCTTTTCACTGTCGTTTTTTTCAGTTCTTTCTGATTGTTTTTGACGTGGGAAGATGATCTAAGTTCCTCTGGACTCTCCCTAACCTAAGCCCTGGACTCTGCCTCTTCTCTAAGGAGCTGGGTGTTGTCTTTCGGGGAGAATGGCTGTGGCAGGTGCCAGATGGCTCTTTGCCACTGGGGTATGACGCTTATAAGCCCTTTCAGTGGCAGAGCTATGTACACGCTCACACACACACACTCTCATGTGTATACACGTATACTCTCTTATAGTAATCATGAGTTCACACTGATTCAGTTTCTTGTCAAAAATATAATTCCTCACTTATATTTTTCTTCTGTTATTACATAACAGAAGTAAGTGTTGTATACTCTGTTATCAGTGTGGTGCTCAAAGACTAGCACAGTGTCTGACACTCAGTGTTTGTTCAAAGGAGTGTGTGTGTGTGTGTGTGTGTGTGTGTGATGCCGGGGCTTGAACCCAGTGTGCACGGTAGGCAAGGGTCTGAGTTGTACCCCCAGCTCTTAGAGGCCTTTGTGACAGTCAATAAATGAATGAACTTTGATTGTGAATTGTCTTTCTATAAAATACAAGTTAAATCATGAAAATTTTTCCCTTCCTGTATTTTTGTCTTTGCCTTATTGTTAAAAATACAGAGTCTGGCCAGAAAAAAAAAGTATACACACTTCAGGAAAATATAAAGTTGTATAAATATTTTAATACTAAATTTATTGTGACACCATGAAATTAATACGGGTCACCTCTGGCCTCTGCAGCGAGAAGTGGTGCTCAGAGAAGCTGTTGGTTGCCTCCAGGCACTGGTGAGCGCAGCACACTGCTGAAGTGCACGTACTT